GATAATCTCTCAGATATTTAAGGTTAGATTTTTGTTTGAAAAGTTAAAGTTTGTTTAAAATAAAACATTCTAGGCCATCGTCGAAATAACACCGAGAAATTAAAAATAGATTCGATAGTGGAACGTTTATACGATAAGAAATTATTGTAATAAAAACTCTTTCTTAATAATTATTGAATAATCTCTCAGAAATTTGAGGTTAGATTTTTGTTTGAAAAGTTGAAGTTTGTTTAAAATAAAACATTCTAGGCCATTGTCGAAATGTTACCGAGAAATTAAAAATAGATTCGACAGTTATACGATAAGAAATTATTGTAATAAAAACTCTTTCTTAATAACTATAAAATAATCTCTCAAAAATTTAAGGTTAGATTTTTGTTTGAATTAAAATTAAAAAAAAAAAAAACTTTTTCTTCTCCCTAAAATGTTACCAGTAAGTTCGAGAAAGATTTTATTTCAAAACTGATCAACTTGGGAAATGATTTCATCAATGTGTACACATTTGGCATGGGATCCCACGTTCAGTGTTGGATCGGACCATCGTAGTGAAAGAGTTGATAATGGTTTTAATTCGAGGAAACTCGCTTCTTCGCTTATTGCCACGGAAATATTGGTAATACGTGAAAAATGAACGACACGGCACCCGGGAGGAATTTAATACTCGTTGCGCAGACAGTGGAACGCGTTCATTAAACGATCAGGTTTATAACGTGTCCTCTTTGTCGCGCGCTCCGTCGATGCGCATTTTTCTCCTACTCGGTCAGGACGCGGTGTTAATCGGCACTCTGGCTGTCCTCGCAAATTACAGCCACGTCGCTCCATGACGCTTAATTCGATTCCTAATTATCGGTTTCACGACCGGGGGATATTAATATCAGAAAATTGGCACGTGCCCGCGTAACAATCATTCTCCCGTTGAATTGCATTCTCGTAAACGAACTGCGAGCCGGAATTAATTGGAAACTGGAGGGAGCCCGTTTCGAACCTCGTAACGGTGATCTCGGCTGTGAATTATCACCGGGAGAAATGACCAAACAGATAAATTAACGAATATCCATCAAACTTCTTCCCCGCTCCTCCCCGGATTGATAAAAACAGCGATCTATTCCGACCTATCTACCATAACGTCGTTCCATTCCAGACTTTACAGTGCCTGGTTTATCTGAAAGGAACGATTCGCCGGGAGCCCTCGATTAAACGAGTCGTCCCGATCAAAGAAAAGGTCTCTTAAAGTCTAAAAAGCGGCCCGATCAAAGGTGAAACGGGGCGGGACGGCCGGAAAAGCTCGTTCCAGCGACAAACAAGGTGGAAAACCGCGGGGAAGATTGATGCTGATGCCTCGGGTATTGGCAATCAATGGGTTTGGTAAACAAGCCAACTTCAATTTACCAGCTCGTATCCGCGGCGCAGCGAGCCAAGGCCTGTTTCGCGTTTCGCCCGAGACATCCGCAGCGAAACGAAATCTGGAAATGAGTTTGCTCCGCGCGCAGGCCCGTATACAACCTGAAAGGCATAACCGTCTGAAAAGGTGGCGAGAGGCTGTGTAGAAGGAACTAAAAGTGATGCAGAGAGAGAAAGAGAGAGAGAGAGAGGGGGGGGGGGGCAGGCGGAAGGCGGAGTATGGCGAAAGTTACTCGCCGGAAAATATACAGCGGCGCTTTTAGGAAGTTGGGATTATCGGAAAAGCGGGTTTCGAAATGCGAGTTACCGCCAAGGCGGATCCTCGGGTGGAAACTCAGTCGCGAAGTTGCTTCCTGAGTCTCGACTCGGCCATTGGAGAGAGAGAGAGAGAGAGAGAGAGAGAGAGAGAGAGAGAGAGAGAGTCGGCCGACTGTAGTGGTCGTTTTCCACGTAAAAGCTCGGCCCTCCCCGCTGGGGAAGCTACGGCCGCGGCTGAACACGCGCCCGAGCCCGCGTGCCCTTGCTAACTTTCGAAACATCGCCGGCACAGCTGCCGAGCGTGGAACCGCGGTTTCAAACTTCTTTAAATTCCGATCGATATCGCCGGCCAGACGTTTTTCCACCTGCTCGTGAAACTTGTACCTCTCGTGTACGCTCTGTCGCAAGCGTAAAATCTTACAACTCTTCTTACAGCTCCTCTCGCTGTCGCGACCGTTTTTTTTTTTTTTTTTTTTTTTTTTGGGCCGTTTCAGTGCCAGGCGTTTAAAAAACCGTGTTGGACTGTGCTATGCGACGCGATAACACTTTCTGGATACAACTGTGAAAAGTGCCAAGCAACGCAATAGAAATGGATTAAGTAAAAATTGACTATTTTTGCACGTAGTTAAAGTTTAATTGAAAACAAAGTAATTAGGAGAGGAAGCGAAATTGAACATATTATACAGGGTGGAAAAAAGTTTGTCCGTAGAAGAGTTTTACACCTACATGTAAAGAACCTGCCTCAAATTTCAAAGTCAAATTGGTTTTTTTTTGCTTTGTATTCTACTCATCGTGAAGGTAAAACTTTTCCAAGGAACTATAGATCGCAACTTGATAGGTTTTTTGGAAAATGGCGTTCTAACAACGACTTTATGGTTCTCGACGCGCAGATAAAATAATGTCGAATTAGTTTTATTAGATGCTACAGCTATGATAAATCAAATGTTAGTGAAATCTAGTAAGAAACTTACATAAAATAGACATCCACGCGTCCAGAACCATAAAGTCGCTGTTAGTACTCAGTGTTAAACGATAATTAAGAAACTTTTGACTATTTAGAATTACATTGATGCCACAACTATGATAAGTCAAATGTTAGTGAAATCTAATGAGAAACCTACATAAAACAGACATCCACGCGTCCAGAACCATAAAGTCGCTGTTAGTACTCAGTGTTAAACGACAATTAAGAAACTTTTTCGTCATTTTTTGAAAGAACTAGATTGAGACCTATGGTTCCTTGGAAAAGTTTTACCTTTATGATAAGTAGAATAAGTAAAAAAAATTTTGATCTTAAAATTCACAAAAGGACAAACTTCCATTCCTTTCGTTCCATCCTATACATCGCGATACGAATACGCGGTGGCATTTTTCGACGGGAAATCTGAACAGCGCGATCGCGCTGCATGGCACTGAAACGGTTGAGCTGTTTTCAGCGAGATTAAACACGCTACGCTGTCTCTTCACGCTGACGCTTCGTAAAAGCTTTTCACGGAAGTGTAGCGGGTATATATTTCCAAACAAATTGCCATCGCGCGGTATCTGGTTGTCGTGCGGCGTGGAAAAAAGTTAAATACCAGCCGGTCGTCTAGTCTGTTCAAGTCGTGAAATAATGGTAGTTGGCATTGGTGTTTGTATGGGGCGTGGAAAAAAGACGGACCTGAGGAGTGAGTTTTCAGATGATTGATGAACGGAAACGGCCGGTGGCGGAGGGTGATGGCAAATTTTTTGCGATTTTTCCATTCTTCTCCGTTTTGCCGCTGTTCTTGCAAACTTATAATTCTGTCCGGGAGCGTTTTTTGAAAGGGCAAACTCTCACAGAATGGTCGGCCTTGCCTTCCGCCGCGAACTGAAACCGGAGGAAGGTTTATTAAGCCCTGTGTTGTTTTCCTCCACTCGAGAGTAGCTAAGTAGCTTTAGAATCCCTCGCTCGTTTCTGCAATTTTCGTGCAGTTAAACTGCTCGATATCTTTGATTTAATTCAAGTTTGAAAATATAACGTTCGAGAATAAAGTTTCAGTCAATTTCGTTCGCTGAATTGTAATTTCGTAGAGTGAACAATTTTAGTAACTCTTCCATTTATGAAATTTACGTCTTTTTCTACCAGAAAAATCATTTCTCCGTACTCTCGCGCGGTTCGATCGTTTCGACGTTCCCCCGAATTTGGAAACGAGTAATTTACACAAGTAACGGAGAACGTAAATTTCAACGATCGAGTCGAACTGAGAACGACGTTCTGCCATCCCCGGGCGAGATTCGCGCATCTCGAGAAATCCGTGAAATCATGAAAAATCGGCGGTCGTTGTCGCGGTTATCAGCGATCTTCGCAGCGTGGAAATGGAGGCTCGCGCGAAGATATGAGCGGAAGTATCACCCGAACATGAAGATGGAACGTCGCTGCGCGCGTGTATGACCGTGATATATTTTATGGGATTTCACGACCAGCGATAATGGCGTCCATAGAACTTCCGTGATAGTTTCAATTTATTGGCAACGTTATCGATATCTCATCGGGACAGATTGCAATCTAACATTCTAATGGAATCTAAAGTGAAAATTGTGGATTGAAGGATGCGGCTGCTTTCGAGACTGTGTTCCGCGCTTACCTATTGAAATTAATTGCCGCGATCGATTCGAGTTTGAGAACGAAAACGAGCCTTCCCCTCCCCCCCTTCCGATTAAAACGTACAATATTTATCGCCCGACAGCCGTGGCCTGTCACTCGTTTAATCTCGTCGTTTGTTTATTTATTCAACGCGGTTATGAGATATCGTGCATCGTGGCCTGTGTGATCGATCACCTCGTATCGAAAAGGAAGAACCTAGGCAGGAAAGTAATAAAATACTAATTAATTACTGGCGTATTGAATTCTGAAACGTCTCTCGTGTCGTCAGAGGAAACTCGACGTCCACGAGGTTAGACAGACCCAAAGTTTAGAGCCAAATATCTGCCGTAAAGTCCTATTTGCTCGACACACACCTGCGCCGCGTCGAGATACGGTCAAGAAACTGGAATTACAAGTTTCCATTTTATCAAATCGGAATACCTTAGCCGGCGTCCGACTAATTTATCACGAACTGCGATAAACGCGAACGTGCTCTTATTAGCATCGTGGATCGCGCGTTCGTTCCACGACCCATTGCATGCAACTTTCGAACTTTTGACTCGCGTCAGAATCATATCCGTGTATGCGAACGTGTGGGAATCTGGCTGGGTGAGAATGAAACGAAACGAAACGAAACGAAACGAAACGAAAGGAACCTGGTTGGTTCGAGCGAAACGAAGCGGACGGTCGTTCGAGGTTCGCGATCGTCGGCTAATAAGTGACTGGTGTGTTTCAGGCGTACGTTGATTTGGTGAAAGCCTGGGGCTGGAAGAGCTTTACCATCATCTACGAGAATAACGAAGGGTTGGTGCGATTGCAGGAGCTCCTGAAGGCACACGGGCCCAGCGAATTCCCTATTACGGTCAGGCAGCTCAGCGAGGGCTCCGAATACCGGTGAGTTTTCCCGACAATCCTTCCCTCTCGGCGAGAGGGAAACTCGAAAGGCAAGGGTCAATCAGACGAGCGTTAATTGTTCGCTCCATCAGCGTTTGAATCTCCTTTATTTTCCGTTCCTTTCCGAACTAAATGCGATCGAGGCTGTTTGGAGGAAGCACGTGCAAAGCGATTCTAGAGAGAGAGAACGTTTCTTTAAAAGAAATTGCAAAGCACAGAAATGAAGGTTGCAGCATTTTAGATTTAAATTATTAATTGCAATTTTCTTCCTTTTCATTTTCTCGAGATAAATAAATGTCGTTGAAGAAAGTAGATGCAAAGTGATTGTAGAGGAAGGAAATTTGTTGAAAATTATAACTGAAACACAAAGCACAGAAATGATGTTCGTAACAATTTTACGGTATTTCGGAAGATTTTAATTTTTAATCGCAACTTTCTTTCTTTTTAGTTTCTCGAGATAAATAAATGTCGTTGAAGAAAGTAGATGCAAAGTGATTGTAGAGGAAGGAAATTTGTTGAAAATTATAACTGAAACACAAAGCACAGAAATGATAGTCGTAACAATTTCACGGTATTTCGGAAGATTTCAATTTTTAATTGCAACTTTCTTTCTTTTCATTTTCTCGAGAGATAAATAAATACCATCGAGAAAATAGATGCAAAAGTGATTGTAGAGAAATGAATGGCATTCAAATTTTCGTTTCAAACTGAGAATGAGAAACGAGTAATTCGACGATCAATGTACTTATTGTGCTTTTTAACGTATCAGAGAGTAGAGACATCAGCCAGTGGTGATTAAGTTTATTTCTGTAACTGACAGGAAGCCACCTTGTCAGCCGCCAAGTTTCTCGAAATTTTATTTCGTCTATTACTCTGGCGACAAAGTTCCGAGAAGTACTATTAACTGGCTGCACGTGAGACTTGTCGTTAAGTTTAAAAGTCGAGTTACACGTGACGCCGACATCTTCGCTTCGAGTGGCAGGCAGAGGGAGAATTTTCGTGAGAAGCTCGGTCGTGGTAGATTCGACGATAAATCCGACAACGGCCACGCGATCCATCAAGATCGCACGCAAAATGGAGTCAATCTGTCAAACGTCGCGCAACATAACTGCATTCGCAAACGCAGATTCTAACACGCTGGATCCTATTCCCTACTGATATCATTTAATTGCGGTGTTGATCACGATATCCAAGAAGGTTGCCTCGGCTTAATGCTAAACCTTACCACTGGCCGATAAAATTGACCGTTTTCAAACTTTTGCAATTTCTTACATATACAACGTTATCACATCGCTGTTCATCTTTATAACTTTTCTTGAAATATTGAATTTTTCTTATTTTCTTGAAATAATGAATTTTTCTTATTTTCTTTTGTCCGAGAAATATATGTAGCCGATCAATTTGAAAAATTTATGATATTTACTCTTCTAAAATACTATATAATTGGTTCACGAGAAGGGCTATCTGACGCACGTGAATGATTGATAACAATGTTTCATTGCAAGAGTGCACGCAGGTCGCAAATTTGGGTGATACACATGGTACAATTTTATAATTCCAGGGTAGAACATGACAGAATAAAAATTTCAAAATGTTTCCTTTGCGTTTCAAGTTACGAAGAAAGGACAAGTAAATCGGCAATACTTTGACGTAAATTTTTTATTTCGTGCATTATTCTGCGAATATTTATCCTGAAAATATTAGGTTCAAGTTAGAAGAAACAAATGTCGATGAACAGAAACTTTCTGAAACTGAAGATGGAAAAAAAGATGGTGACCTGTTTTGACACACCGACGAATTAGAGACCCCAATAAATGTAAAGGACAAAAGAAAAGGAAATTAGTGTTGTAGTTTCGAAAGTGAAAGGTGACGTGGGACACCGAATTCACTATTATCTACAAGTTCAAGTGTAAGAAATAACACTCTCTTTCAAGAGTCGATCATTTTGACCGATCACGATAGGAGTAGGTATGCATGAAGCGTCGGTGAGTTTAGTATTAAGGAAATCGGGGATTCAGCTCCCCTCTGCGTAATTTCCAAACTACGTCGAGCTGATCCATATTAACGTCCTCTCTCTCTCTCTCTCTCTCTCTCTCTCTCTTCATCTCTCGTCTGAATAGATTATTCAATCTTTGCAGAGCACCGCTGAAACATCGATCGCTAATTAAAACCGCCGTCGGTATATCATTAAACTAACAAAAGCCATCGGAAACGAGAATTCCTCTGAGCGCGGTGTATATATCCGAAAGCGGTCTTGCAGTCGTAGCCACTGTTCGAAACGAAGCGATGCATGGATCGTGGAAGCTGGAGACGAACACGCGTCCTGTTGAAAATTCAGCGGCGCCGATGATCGACGTTGTCGTTGCATTAACGTGCAACGACGTGCAACAGCAGTCGCCCAGTTGCGATCGATACTTGTACGTACCGCACTCGCAGAGAATACACCATTACAAATTAAACTCCTCTCTCGCTCCTCTCTCACTACGTATAGATATAGGTACGCTCGTATCGGCAATCCGCGGACCACAATGATCTTCTTACGCGTGCATGGTATGGGTGACGTGGTATCGATCGCCGCCTGGAAAGTGTGTCAACTGCGTTTCACGCGGCGCGAATAGGACAAATCTTCATCTCTCTTTCCGCCGTCGGTTCCGTCACCGATACGAGCTTGCTCGCTTCTTAAGAATCGCGCGTTCTCTCTCTCTCTCTCTCTCTTTCTCCCTCTTTTTCTCTCTCCCTCGTCCCAGCTGTTCTAAGCGCGAAAGAAGAAGCGATGCATTATTCATAAAACCAGCGGCGACGCTGGCTTATTGCGTCAGTGGGGCTGCGGCGACGATATGGATTTGAATAAATTCGGTTAGGTTCCAACGTATCCATTTCACCGGGAAAATTCATCGTTCCCTGCGTGCGTTTCTTCACTGTCGCTAATATCGGATGCATTGTGCGAGGAAATTGTTTGCCAGGACCAGGGGCCAGCAAGTTGACCCTTGCGCCGAATCCTGCGGGACCTCCTCGACCATTCTCTATGCATGCTCTCCCCTCCCTCCCCACCGCTCTTTTTCTCAACACGCTGGCTCTGGTCCTTTGATCGCTTCTGTAATTATTCGTTTCACCGGGGGAGGGATGGAATAATTTGCGCGAGGAATCGAGAAACGAGTTGCAGTTGAATGGAAGTTCACTTTTCGAATTTTTGCCGGTCCGGTTCTAACGAGGGGTCGTTCGTATTGACACGAACAGATCAACAAGTTTCCAAGTGTTGTTTGCAGATACGCAATATTTTTGTTATACTTCGTTATTTTGGCAAACAACGTGGCAGCGTGTTTGCGCGTCGTTGCGTTTGACGTAGCATTTATTCAACACTTGTTAATTAATCAGGCTCCGGGGTATTAACGTTCGTCTCGCTTGATGGCGTAATAAACGTCGTTGATTAATTTATGTGAAATTCGAAATAATCCGAATTTGGGTGCATTGTTTTGTTCCTTGCGCAACGTTACATAATAATGGAAGGAATTCTGCCGCCAGAACGTGCCGAATTGACGTGCATTATCACGTGTCTGATAATACAAGCTCTCGTCTATTATTTCCACGTTACTAAATGGTGTTGCATTTCCTCATTTCCTTCGAATTTCCTCGTTAAAACTTCAGAAGGGAATCCCTAAGGAAAATTCCGATATTCTACGAAATGAAACCCCGGTAGATTCGACGCAGGGGAAAAAAATAAGACACCTTTCATCTTCCCAACGTCTTCTTCTTTCTTTCGTTCTTTCATTCGCGGAAACAACTTCGGGAATTGGGCAGCCCTTTGCGCGGTTTGCTTTGCGAAAAGGATCAATTTTCGCGGAGAAATCCTGAGAGGGGAAGACTACTCTCTCGCTCTGAATGATAAGGACGTTCGGAAAATATGATACTTCTAAGTAGAAGCCGTTTGTATTGTTCAACCCGAGCCAGATTCTACGTAGGTGTAATAAATCCCCTGATGTATGAAGTCTACAGACATTCGTCGGATTGCAGGAGTCACGTTCTTCCTTTCGTCCACGTCCGCGCAAAGGCTCGTTCAAATCTCCATTTTTATTCGCTCAGGAGTATCTACTCAAATTCTTCGTATTCACTGCGAGGAGAATGGTAGTTTTTGCGAGGAACGGTGAAACCATCGCGCAGAGATAGAAGGATTTGGAGCTTTTCATTGCCAGGAATAATCTTCCACGAGAGAAGGAATTCTTAAAATATTATTTTTAAGTGCGAAAGTTTCCTCCGATGACCAGTGGAAAATTTCAGTCAATATTTCAAACCGATATTTTAAGCGTCGCAAAGAAAAATCATATTACGATCCATTTCATCTCATCTCGAAACGGAAAACTGGCTTGAAAGACGGGATACGTTTTCTACGAGAATTTTTTAAAATTCAAACGCGCGTGAAAGCGTTGAGAAATTTTGCTCGTGACTAGATCCACTTAAAAATTCGAATTTTCTCTTTAAAACTCGCTGCACGACTTTCTTTCTCGCCGTTTTATCGAAGTACGGGACAGTCGTCGACGAAACGTTGACGAAAACGTTATTTCTTGAATTTTTGTCGTTTAATATTCATCGTTGAAAGACGGTGAAAAAGAATCATACGACGGTTAAGAATTCTAAAGAATTATAAAGAAGAGACTTTGATCTACTTACGAAAATAATTTTTTAACGGTTTTATACACGTGTTTTAAATTTTGACAATTTTCAAGGAAAAAGGTAGTTTCAGTTTCTCCATCTATATGATACGATGTCATCTTCAAATCGCAACTTGCGACTGTCACTGTAAAAGCTTCACGTTTTAAAATGAAGCCAAGTGAGTCGATGTATGATATTTGATGTTTTTTTTTACAAAGAGTTACGTCAGATTAAATTACCGACAATTTTTCATTGTCATTGGTGCCAATTATGCTCTTCGTTGTAATCGCGTTTCTTTGTTCTTTTGGTTCTGTGTCTGTCTTATGTTTTGTTTGCTACCGTCATTTACAGAG